CACACCCCTAACACTTTTATTTAGTTAATTTTTAAAGGGGAAAGTATCCATAGAGGCCAAAAGAGTATTTTCTACCACATTGTAAATATGCTGGAAGTACCTATTAGCCTTTTTCTATTACTTTGTAAAAACAGTTTTAAGCTAAACTGCTACAAAAAGTGCTTCATTAATCAAGGAAAAGGCATGGGTGTTGGGGTGGGAGGGGCTTGTGTAAATTTTTCTATTTAAATGCCAGTTTCTTACAGTCTGACACAAGATTAAACAAACACATCGCTGCTGTAACCCAAACCTGATTTAAACTGAGCCATTATCAATCTCAAGGTCAGCTCTTTGTTCAACTCTGGAGAGCTCGGACCCTTTCCCGGAAGACACAGAGAAACAACCCCCTCGTCCACTGGGAAAAGCCCCAACATATAAGGCAGAAAGTCCAGGGGATACAAAACACCCACACCCCTGCCTGCCGCCTCTCACAGAGGGAAACTCCAGACTGGAACAGAGTCCATCCTGTCTGCAGGAGACTGGTTCCAGAGCCCGAATATACTCTCACGCTAGTTCACCTGACATTCCATATCCGCATAGATAGCCTCACCAGCCGGGGATCAAACCGCCAGTGCCCCCGCCCTTGATGGCCACCAGACACACATTAGACCTGAAGGCTAGCAGTGTGGCTCCGATCTGTAGCTCGCTCTGTGGAAGCGTTTAAGGTTGTGCAACAGCTCAGTTGAACCAGTGGAGTCTTTAAGTGGGGACAGCACAAACCATTAAACCTTCCTTTTTTGACCACACAAACACTATCTGAGCGCCTGACCTACTGACTAGATTTACCACCTGGCGACCTTTTTGTCTTCAAAAATAAAGTTGAAAGGTAGCCCTTTTACTACACCAAAAAACGTCCAGCGCAGGTCACCGATGTGCCGGCCTTTCAGGAATTCATCCAAATCAAATAGGATCAATGGACTGAGGCCTGAGGTGCAGAAGACGAAGACCAACTTGAAGAGGATAGTGGTCAAGTTTAAAGAAAGAAGAGTTTGTTTTGTTTTTTTCCCAAAGGCAGAGTTGCGGGAGCGCATACAAACAGTCCTTATGATATAGCAAGTAAAAGAAGGAAAGAGAGCACAAACAGCAGAAAAAAAGCTGAATTACACAGCGCCCAAACAAATACTGTCAGGGGGGGAAAAAGCAAAGGCTTCAGCGCTGGCAGGATGCTGGCTAGCTTTCTGATGCCTCATTGTGCAGGAAAGAAACAACAGGGACTAATGGGCACACAGAGTGATCTCACTGGTGGCACTGCTGCAGGGTTAGCTGTTAGCCATTTAGCTCTAAACATCCAAACAACAACGAATGAGTCTGAATGAGGGTTTTCAAGGTGATCGTTTAAAGCAAAACAAAAACAATACACACTTAGAGAAGCTTGGAAAAGGCAGAAAAAACATACAAAATTACTGCAAAAGTGAGCGGAGGTACAGTGCTGCTGGGCTGGATGAGATCCCAGGTGTGTTGTAAGGGGTAAAGTAGCCTGCTGCCAGGGAGACACTCTAAGGAAGAGAAATAAAGGGATGAATGGAGCGATATCTGTCCAGCACTGCTGGGAGTGTCTTGGTGGGGTGTTCACATGCACGTACACGCAAACACAACACACACCGAGACGACTGGGTCTGAGTCGGTAGAGGAAACTCCAAGACTGGAGCATGTTCAGCATAATCACATGAAGCTGGAACAGATACAGCTGCAGCTGAGCGAGGAAAGAGACAGCGGGAGAGGGAGAACCACAGATTACAGAAGGCGAGTTACTAAAAAAAGGATCAGCCTGTTGAGAGAAAGGGAATGAAATTGATCGTGAAGAGAGAAAGAGGGAAAGAAAGGCGGAGAGAGAGAGAGAGAGAAGGAGATGAAGTTTTGGGATTGAGAGCAGACTAAAAATGGGGATGAGTCTGGTGACAAAGAGCGAGAAAAAGGCGATTGGGAAGAAGTAGGAAAGGACGAGTGGTTGCAAAGATGAAAGCGGGAAAAAAAGAAATGAGACTTAAAGCTCTATTGAAGATTGAGACTCGAACGACTGGAGAATCAAGACAGAGAGAGAGAGAGGGGGGGGGGGGGGGGGGCAGCTTGAGTAAGTGACAGAGAGAAAGATGGAGAGAGAGGAAAGAAAGAGTTAGAGGAGTGAAACGCACCTCGCGGCAGCTTCAGCCAGAGAGAAAGAGGGTTTTAGCCAGATTAAAGAAGCCAGGCAGGCCTCTTAAGACCATCCGCCTAATGAAATATGTCAAAGCTCATAAAGAAACACCGAGGCCATTTAGGAAGGAGGGGTGGGTTGAGATATGGAGCAGGAAGCTGGGCAAAATACTCTGCATCAGCAAAAATGAGAAACACGCAAAAGCCCTGTCAATACGCACTAGCTAAGACGTCAACTGGAGGGGGGATGAAGAAAAAACCACAAGAAGAAAGGAATGCAGCAGAGAAGAAATGGATCACTTTATCTATCATGTGTGCTTAGAAATGCCTGGAAAATGTGAGCAGGAGACGACAGGGTGGGGGGAGCGGGTGGCAGGGTGGGGTGGGTATCAGACAGAAGAAGAGGAGGGCGGAGGTGAAGCCACTTGTGGGAATGCTGAGTGTGGGGGATTTGAGGTCAGCAACGATGCTCGGGCCATTTGTATTCTGCCAGGCAACAGGCTTAGCTGGCTGTTGCAGGTGGATTTTAGAGATCGGTGTGTGAGAGAGAGCAGGAACAGAAGGAGCAACGAGGCCAGATGTCTCCCAACATCATAACTTAAATGCTGGTTTTCTTATACGGGGCCTTGCTGTCATATTAAAGACATTAAATCTAAATGAGATACAAATCACTGCTGAGCTCTACAATTAAAATCCTGACGTCTGCAGCCGAGCTGGAGTCACGACACTCTGTGAGCAACATTTGATTTCTGTTCATCCTTCAGCTGCGCAGATCAACCACAGAGGGTCTGCCAGTCGGCCACTGAGAAGAAATGCTGAAGCTGTTAGATCTAACAAAGCAGAAATTTACCAGTAGTGATCAGAAAAAGCTCCAGTAACACTGCACCTAATCTTTCCTGTCATTATTGTTAGAATGCCACAGACTCCCAGGAAGTAAAAAAATTCCGTGTTCAAAATCAAACACCACTCGAGGCTCATGCTGTGGGTGTTAACGTAGTGCTTTAATGGCGCACTAATAGAGACCTCTGATGTCGTCATCCATGCTTCAATTTCCAGTCGCCTCTGCTCTGGATCCTCACACGTTCTGGCTCACCTGCTTTACCAAATTCACCACGGACCTCAAACTGGCACAGAAAGCAAATATCTCTGGCTACAAGCCAGAGAGCAGACAGCAGTCTCCATGTTTAGGTAACAAGCATGAGCGGAAGCAACCTCATCATTTTCTTTGACATCGACGGCATTTGGACACCCTGGATTTATCCTCCAGGGTCAGACTGTCAGCGCCAAGTTTTACTGTAATGTCACGAGCCATCAGACAGGTTTGCTGAAAAGATCTGAACTACTACAAAAAAGTGTTTTTAAAATCACGTGTGGATGAACTTTTGATTGCATCTCAAATATTAATTTTTCTCCTCTTGCCGTGCCACATCTATATCTGCACGTTATATTCAATTGAACATGTCAATCAGTGTATTGCAGGTATGTAATGCAAAAGCTGTTGTTTTTGCAGACAGAAATATAAAAAACCATAAACTATCAAAAGAAAAGCCTTCTAGAAACTGGAGTCCTGAGAAAGGAGATCAATGAGTCTGCAAGGTATGTAGAGCCTAAAGTCAGGAATTTCACCATCACAAAGGAAGCTCTCATTATAGCCGGCTAGACCACCACGGTGAATCCATGATGAACATAAAGCTTGATACAAGGAGTTCACTACGACCAACACTTCACATTTAGTATCAAGGAGTCTCCAAAGGAGTCTCTTTTTACTCTAAGATCTCTCGTATGTAATGAGCAATCAGTTTTAAGAGGCCTCCCACTCTGCAGCATAAACTGCTACACACGCACCTCCAACCAGACACTCTACAAACATGGCTGAGTCCTACAAGTGCAACTGCTACAATGATTTGCACAAATATGGCACAGACCAAAACATTTGTTGATTTCTCTTCTAAAAATGAGTCCACGATCAATTGTAACACATCATTTGTCCTCTATAGGGTGCTTTCTCATATTGGAAGAACAAAAAGATATTGTGAGAACACAAATATGCCACATGCACTGGCAATACCGATTACCCACCCATGACTGGACACCACCTGAACTTCCATGTTTAGTAACCCCAGTATTTGGAATTGACGACGTCCTTCTTTCTATATGAAGAGCTGACAGACGAGAGACTGTTCACCAAACTGCAGGCCATCAAACACCCACTGTTTGCCTTCCTGATAAAGGCTTGGACAGTGAAAATGATTGGAGGTTGGACACAAAGGGACTTTGAGTTCATTGATGTTTTAGCTTACATTATATATCCTCTTCTCCTTCTCAGAAAAACAAAACAAACAAAAACCAAACGCTGATTACTTCACATACATCACTTTGAACCACCACTGCACCGTGTCGTCTGTAAGCAGAAAAAAAAAGTCTTCTCTTTTACATTTAACCAGACTCTTCTCAAATAAAACAAAGCAGAACTGAGTGCGGACAAATAACTGGAGCAGAATTCATTGTGATGGAGTGGGGGCTGCTGTCAGCTGGGTGAGGATTGAACACCGCGGGCCTGCTGACCTGGGCGGCAATAAAGCAACACGAGCTCAGACGCTAAGTGCTGCACAACTCAACTCTGTCAGCCAGGGGAGAAAAAAAAAAGAAAAAAAGGGAGGCGGAGGGAATAAAGAATAAAGAAGAATATTTGAGAATAACAAGAATCTTCACGCGTACGGTTCATTTTTTTCCTGTGTGGACTTGTTGAATCGTTAAGCCAAAAGACACAACAAGGGAGAGAAGTGTGGCAGATTGGTGGGTCAAAGAAAAATATATCGAACACTCACTGTTCTTCTGCCCGACCAGTGATCCCACGTTGCTTTCATCAGCCACTAGGAAAAAAGAAAGAGCCAGAGGGACACAGTAAATATCACACATTATGCAAGCAATATCTAGTACAACACAAAACAGCATGCAGGTCATTCCAGTGCCCCGTGCTGCTTCATAAATGGTTATACTGGAGCCTACTGGTGCTGGCATATGTTGTAAATGACTCCCGGCGTAAGATGGAAGAGGACGAGCGAGAGGCAAAATGACACAGACTGAAGGAGGAAATGAAAAGGTGGCAGAAATATAAGAAAACCAGAAGAAAGCGAGATATTGTGATTGTGAGAGAAAATGAGAACAGAGAGATGAGACAATATGAGAAATAATAAAGGGACAAAGAAGACCAAGAAAAGCAGCCCTCCCACCAACACCCCACCCCCGCCCACCAACACCTAATCTAACTAGGATTGCGGTCGGCCGGCGGTCGCCACCGCAGGATACAATAATAGGTTTTCATTATCCTGCCATTTCTCTTAAATAATCCTTTTCATTTTTTATGAGGTCAATTTTCCCAACGGACAGATGAGGGTGAGGGAGCGAGCAAGAGTGAGAGCAAGGGATAACATAGGAGAGGGAACAGCAGGGAGTGAGGAAGACAGATGCAGAGACTGGGTGTGCCGGGAAAATATAACAGTAAAAAAAACTTAAGAAAAAAAACAAACAATCAGTCAAAGTAAAGCGGAAATTGAAAAAGTGACATCTGTAGCTACCAAGACAAAGAAGCAAAAATACCTTTCTTGTCCACATGTGCCAGATAAAATAAAACTTAAATACTTTCAAAGTTTCGGGAAAAAAGATATTCCAGGCCTCATGACCCTGGCAGATAATGAAAAGCTTCCCTTTCACTGTGCCGGAAAGATAAAAGTCTGCGTGGCCAGCAGCCAAGTTGGTCTCTACTGCCACAGAGGAAGGCTAAAAACGTAAGAATCTCACGTTTAACCCCAACTCTGCTAACTTACTGTGTCACTTTATTACTGAAACATTACTATACAAAGTAAGGGTAGTTCTTGTAAAGTACACTGACACTGAATAATACTTTGAGGATATAGACAGTGCAGTAGGTCAGTGGAAAATGTAAAAGGGAGTAGCAGAGCCAAAGGACAAAAGTGGCTGAAAGAGAGTAAATGAAGGATTGAGTATGAGATGGAAAAACAGAAAGCAAAACCAGGAATTAAAGGAAGGAGCGCGCGAGGGGCAGATGGTAGGACAAATAAACAGAGAAAGTAAACAAGCAGTGTAGAAGAAAACATGCATAAACGAGGAAAGAAGACTCACAAAGAGAATGAACTTGAGAGACATGATGAAACCAAAAGCTGTATATAAATGATGGACGTAGCATATGCAACATAACTCACTGGTTTATAGAGTCTGGTTTTAAAGCCTGAAGTTCAGCATCTCAGCTTTTATAACGTGAGCGATGGATCTGACTGTCAATAATCAATCAATAATCAATCATCATCCACAATCAGCAGGTTTTCAGCGATCTCAGTCTGGACCGGTGACTGACCATTAAGCCTTCCATTAGCATGGAAGAGCACAACTGTAAGCTGTGGGGGACTACTACAAAAATATTTGTAACAACAAATCCAATCATACGCTCAAATGACCCTCACCCACTTTTACATGGATATTTTAAAGAAGCTAACAAAGACAAAGCAGCTAAAGCTAACACTGTCCAGGGCTAGCCACGAGCTAGCAGCCTTGGTATGAGCAAAGGATCAAAGCAGTTACGAGGAAAATTATGAAGATGAGTAAAAAAGTGAAAAGGGTTGATGTTCTGTTATCTGGTGAAATTATAAACATGCTAGAAAATTTCTGAAATGCCTGACATTTATTTTATTCAATAAACTAGCTGCATCAGCTTCTGCTTGGTCAGGTAAAATATGTCAGGTAAAGGTGCGTGGATAATAACCCATCATCAGTTAATGATTTGCACTTCTTCCCAGTAGCACAGCACTCCTTTATTGTTTAAGGGAGGGAAGACGTACTGTAGCTTGAGGACAATTGCAAGGTTTAAAATTTTATTGTAAAAATAAAACAGCATTTTACAAAAAGTGGGTTTTTTGTTTGCATATGCTGCCAGTTCTAAGGATGACAGTGCATCTCTATTTATTTCTTATTTATGTCTCTAAATAAGTTCAGAATTTACAAAAACACTACCACGCTGTATTAAATCAGAGTTGAAAACAGCAATTAAGACTATTAACACATCAGGAAAGCGTCTACTGAGATCATTAATGAAAGTTGGGGTAATCTCCACATAGACTTCTATGTAATCTGACTCTGTTTTACAAGTAGAGGAGTCAACCTTTGCTGTGAATTAGGACGAATGCAGGTTAAAGGCTCTCCTGCATGACCTTTATTTTGGTTTTTGCCTCTGACAGTTAAAAATTCTGTGTGCCTTGTTTGATTTTAACCTTTTCTCGTTTATGCATATGGTCTTCCATTAAAATCCCTGCTAATTATTTCATTGCTTTAATTTCTGTGTCACTGCCAGCTCTTTAAAAATAGACCAATTGATTAAGGATAAAGGTCCAACTTTTGCTAGTGCTCATAATCAATAAGACATACTGTAGGCGATGTAGTGTTTCTGCTGTGGGCGGTTTAAAGGGTTAGATACTCAGCAGGATACTCCCACAATGCCCAGGTGTTGCCTGGAAAATGACTCTTAACGAAAGATAACTTTTGGTTAAATCACTCACACTTCTTTAAACATTTTAGAGTCATTGCACATGATATCACTTAGACTGCAAATGGCGGTATAGACGGTGTAGTCCTAAAAGGTCTGATGTTTCCATGCACTTTAAGCATCTTAAAGCCAATCCATACAGACTACTTTCCAAAGCAGACTAGAGCTTTTCAGGCTGATAAAGGCATTAGTGGGAGGAAAGAAACTGACTGGAAGAGACTTACTGTGAGATTTGCCTCAAAAAAACAAAAAAAAACATATTTTACCTTTTATAGCTGAAAGCAAAAATATTCTTTCTGGCATTTGTGGGCATTTGTGGAACAGTAGAAAAAGACTGATTCATGATTCTGTGATCCACTGGAACAAACCCACACCACTTGTCAGAAAATTCAAAGTTTGGCGCAGCTATCGAGTTAGCGATCCCACAATTCATATCAGCATTTGCAGGCTGAGGATTTCTGTGTGTGAGTGAAAGCTCTGAGTCAACACAGTATTTGCTGAGGCATCAAGGGTCAATAAAAGCAGCTCACCTCTTTCTGTCAAGTGGTGTTTAATAAAAGCTAACCTGCTCTAAGGTGCTGCTGAAGCTCAGGTACGCGTGACTATACAGACTGACATGTGGGAAACTCTCCTGGGGGGGAAAAAATGTCTCTTTAACAACAAATCGTACAGACAGGGCTGGCATCTGAGGTCTGCCGCACACTCAGAGACACACAAAGCTCTGCTAACTACCTTATTTCAGCCCTGAGCACTTTGGAGAGGGAAGGGATGAATAGACGTGGAATGATAACACAGAAAAAGAAAAAAAACAGATTGAAATGGAGGATGGCCAGAGATGGAGATAGAAGCCAGAGAGCGGAGACAGATAGAGGTGGGTATTGGAGTGGGTCCTCAGTGGGATAGAGCACAGCGTGCGTGTGTATGCGTGTGTGTCTGAGTGCGCGCGGCCGTGTGTGCAGACCACCCTTGTCCGTAATGAAAGCCAATCAGCTTGGGTGGCAGAGGCGTGTGCTGCAGGAAGAAAGCCAATCCACTGAACCTAATGAACCGGGATTGGAAATCAGAGAGAGGCAGAGAAGAAAGGAGAGAGGCACGGAGGAGAGCAAGAGCAATGAACTCATCGCCTTGCAGTAAGGAAACAAAGTGTTGAAAAGAAAAAGGAGATAAACAAAGATGAAGGGAAAGGAAGGGAAAAAAAACAAGATCTTATCCAAGAAGATGCAAGCACAACAAGAAAAGTAAAGAAAAATATCAAAAAAAAAGGAGGAGAAAAAGAGAGGGGAGAGAATGAGGGGTCAACTCGGGTTAATATGAGGAAATCAGCCTCTGCGTTCTCGCCTTCCACACACAGCAAGCTATGAGATTGGAAACCTCGGCCTCTTCGTTCACACACAAATACAAAGGACGCACGGAAAGACACGCACACACCAGAAGCTGTGTTCATGGAGCTTGCTGGAAAGCCCCTGGGGTTTATAAGTTCACGGGGTCAAATCCCCTTAGGCGGAGGATAATAGCAGAGGGCTACATATCACAACAAAGAAATGCACTGATAAGACGCGTGTGATCGCTGCCGAGATTGTGCGTGTGTCTGTTTCTAGGCTGAGTCCATGATTAGAAGAGGATTTTGGGCTGTTTGTGATGGTTGGGACAACAATGTGGTTCGTGCAGCGTTTTTGCCTCAGAAAATGTACAAACACGAGAGATTTTCTCACTGATGAGGAGGTGAGGGAGTGAAGCTTACCCATGTCCATGCTCTTGGACGCTCTGTTGCGAGGTACGTTGTCCTTAGCATTTTCTGCGTAGAAAGCTTGAGCGGCGCGGGACACCTTCTGAATCTCACTGCAAAACAACAATCAATCGGTTAATCGAGTCAAGTTCGAGCTTGTGCCCTGGCACAAAAACAACGAGTCGTAGTAAACAAAATTTGAGAATCACAAACTCAAACAGACGATTCAATTTCCTGCAGTCCAGATGGCATGATTCAATAAAACACCAGCACGCGCCGTCTCCATTCAACTTAAAGGGAAACTACTATATTGATGCCAGACACTTCAGTGGGATAACGTAAACATGCACTGTAGCCTTTTAGAGCCAACGAATCACAATCACACTGACCAGATTTACTTGGATTGACAGATTTGTTCGATTTATTTGACCTTTCATATGATGAAGCAGCACTGAGAGTGATGATTTACAGAGTTCCCACGCTTATATGTGCATTATATTCAGTTCTATTCATATAGCGCCTAATCACAACAGTTGCCTTACATTGAAAGTGAGAGAAAACACCAACAATCAGATATCCTTTGGCCAAACACTTGGCGACAGAGGGAAGGAAAAACTCCCTTTTAACAGGAAGAAACCCCGGTGCAGAAGGAAGCTTAGGGAGGGGCAGAATTTACACAGTGATAGTATTGTGTTATATAACCCTGGGGGTACATGAGCTTCAGTGATTGAATGAAATATATGTCATAATGGATATTTATGGTATTTATGGGGTATTTATTCATAACACTTTGTATCTCTGTGCTTTGAAAAATGCTCTACGTATAAAGTTATAAATATTATCATCATCATCATTACAGGAAGGCCCCAGCTAGCCAGCCGGCTTTAGATTTGAACCCAGCAACCTTTTCCTGTGATGTGCCAGTGCTAACAAATGCACAACTATGCCCAAATTATTATATGATCATTATGGAAAAACACAATTTTAATAACAAGTAAACTGTTATTGAGTAATCACTGCTCGGTTCCTGCCACATCTTATTTGGGCGAAGTTCAGACTTGGTAACTCCAAAACGTGACATTTTCTTCATTGACATCCGTTACCTGGGTAACGTTACCTGGGTAACGTTTTAGCGTGCAGGGACATTTTTTGTTACATTTGTCCAAAGAATGGTGAAAACTGAAGCATCCAGGCGTGCTACAAAATATCTTTGGAGAATTGTGACTGCTTTCAATTTACATTCATTTATTTATTAAGTGTTATTCTTATATTGTTTACATTCTATAAGATTTTAGGAAGTTGGGTACATTTTTGCAGGTACTTTAATATTATGTGTGTGTTCTTCTTCACCTCGGTGTGATTTTTGCAGGACATCCACTCTGAGTAACCCGACTCTTAAATTACCGTTACCATGCTTTCATTGCTTTGTCTAGCTCCATATATCTTCCTGATGCTATGCTAAAGTCCTGTAGCAATCTGGGTAGCACTTTCTAGATCGCTGTTTACAGAGAGGGGCAATCCTACTGGACGGCCTTACATTAGGTTTTCATTTTAGTTTAGTCGGATGGAATTTTTATATGATGATCAGACCACCGCTTTTTAATCCAAAACACAAAAATCAATATTTGATTTGAGGCTCAACACTGCCCCAAAGCAAAGGGGCGATCTACTTATGCAATTGAGTGCTTTATCTAGAGCGTCAAATCAAAACTTATGTCTACATCCACCGAATATAGAAAAGCATGGGGGGGGAGGATCCCTTTTTTGTTTTTCAAAGGCCCTGACAGCCTGCTGACAGAACATCTCCTTAGCAGGTAATCCTAATGAAGCAGGTAGGAAATTGGCGTTTCACATAAATTTCCTGTGTTTCTGTTCTCAGTGTGTCAGCCAACTGTACAGCAGGATACTAACAGAAATATCACAGCTCTTTCTGAGCCCATGAACTCCTACAGAATTTATTCCATTATGCTATCAGCATATAATTGGTTTTGCGTGATGCAAATAGGCTACTACAATTAGACAATCTAGTCTAAATAATGCATATTCACAATGTCATATTTAATGTAATGGCTCTACTTTATCTCATAACACAGAAGGCCATATTAAGAGCGCCATTAGAACATAATAACTCTGTAAGCCTATGTGTGGAGTTTAATAGAGGGTTGATTATGAAGTATTCTATGCAGTGTGTGCGTGTTTTAATGGGGTGGGGTACCTGTTGGATGAAGGGTTTAGCAAAAACTCTCTGTTCATTTCCTCCACAGTGCCAGGGGAGGGCGGCGGGGGGAAGTCTTGCTGCTCGTCGTCGTTGCCGTAGTGACCATAGCTGTCATCGGCGACCGCAGCAGGAGATGGAGCTGAGCAGAAACAAAAAAAAAAGTAAAACATTTTTTAAAAAACAACAACAACACAGATTTTGTTTATCAGGATGAATCAAAGCTTTTCTCAGGTTGTTTGTTCATAGCTTTCACTTTGATTTTTGCTGGAGACGATATCAAAAATAACCCTGCCTGAATTAACTCCAGCATCAATCCTGAACGCAACAAAAGCTTAATAAACGATGAGCGGCAGCACACAATCACGAGATCTAATTTTAGCAGCTGTATACTTCTAAATATTATCAATCAGTGGTGACAGGGCGCGTCACATATTTAATTACAGGCGCGATGAAAAATAGCGCGTCCTTCAATCGAGGATCGATACTGACGATGAAGAGCTCAGCATTACGTCAAAAATAGATGCAAACTAAAAAACAGACAATCGTTTGTAACTTATTTGAAACACTTCCTGACGCATTTCCATAAACTGTAAACCCCCAAGAGTTTATCGCACTGTAAACTCTTTTGTGTTGAAATCCACCCTCGTCGTAAAAAACTCCACTACTGTTCCACTGTGACGGAGGGCCGACAGCGAGAAAAAACATCCCGGGCTTCCCATGGGGGTGAGGGAGTGGGAGACGAGGGAGAAAGAGATAAAGAATGAATTTAAAACAGTTTGTTAGTCCTTTTTTTCCCCTTTTCTTTAACACAACAGCACGCATGCCGCACAATATCCCGTATGCAAATCTGGCCCACTCAGGAGCTTTTTCATCAGCGTAATGATTCCAAGGTCAGATCTTTTGCACATGAAAAGCAAGCGGCGCGTTCAGAAAAACACAGTTAATGACTTCCCTTTCTCCTGCTAAAAATATGCAGGGGCGAGAGTGAGGAGAGATCCAAAGACAGAGCCGGGGAAAGATGTGACAAATTTGTAATGCGGTGCTATAAAATGCTCAGGGTGGCTGCTACAGTGACCTAAAAAACACTATGGTATCAGGAGCCTTGGCTGGATGTCACGCTGTGCAGTGATGGCAAATACACACACGTAAATAAGCTAACGCGAATACACACACACACACACAAACAAACATACTGTGTGTACATACTCAGCTGCAGATAAGGGGAGTACACAAACACTCTAAGCCTAATGTTGACTATCTGACAGTTCAAATGGACAAACAGCGTGCAGTTGTGTGCTCACCACTTCCAGATTTGCTGTGTGTGTAGTTGTTCGGCGTAGCTGGAGTGTGACTCGCACCATTCATGGTGGACTCAGTGTTCGGAGCTCTGGTGGGTCCTGAAGGTCTCTGGTATGAATCGTGGCTTCGAACGTCCTGTCAGCAAAGAGGGAGAAGAAGAGAAACTCTGAAAATGGTTGTCAGGTTTCAGATGCAAGAAAATGTGTTTCTATTATTACGCAGTAATGAATGAGTCTCTTTTATTTCACTTTTACCACATTTTTAGATATCACTGCTACATAATACTAGCACCAGATTCCAAAGTACACAAGCATCCAATTTATAGCCTGTTAACTGAATCCTGCTTTCAAAGCTATACTGTCTTTGTGTTTTGGCATGCTGGAGGCATGCTCTTGAAGACGTACACGTTTTTGTCTACTGGTGTCAAACCAGTAAAGCAGTCTGGTTCGTTCGGTCAAAAGGACAATAATAAATTGTCGATCTTTAATCTTAAATGTCACCACAATGTGGGGAAGAGGCTCCAGGACAGATTTATCAGCTTGAGCACATCATAAGGGGCAGTTGTGAAACAAAAGTGCAAACGACCAGCAAAATGCACAATGATCTGATCCCTCCAACCACTTCCTGATATGAACGTAACCACCAATCATGGTGTAAACGTTAACAAGAACCGATGTGCAACGAGTATGTACCAGGAAAATGTGTAACCAGTGCTTAATGTGCGGTCCTTAGCTTGTCCTGCATCCTTCTGCAAGTCGAAACAGAGTCAATATATTTGCTAGAGAAATCTAGCACTAGACTGTCAACAAACATTTATTTATTTAACAACTGCAAACAGCTGTTGTGACCAACTGGTCAGCCCACGGTTGAGAGTTCAACACCCTCAACCTCGGTATGTCTTGTGAAGACAGTACGGCGTCTCAGGTCTTCTGCTAAGTGCTTTACATCATATTTGTCTGAACAACCCTTTTCTGTGCCTGCTTATAAGTACAGGTCTTTTCCACTTCTCTTACCTATGGTGTGCCACAAGGCTCTGTTTCGAAGCCCTTAGTGATTCTGTTATATCTGCTCCATCTGCAGCACTTTCTGAGAACTTTTCAGGACATTTGTTACCACAGCTACACATTTAGTTATACATCTCCATTAAGTCTCAAGGTGTTTCTAAGCTACAGATCTTGCAGAGGTGCTTTGACTCTATTAAAAGGATGGGTGACATTATTTTCCAACTTAATAAAGAAAAAACAGAAGTCCTCGTTTGTGCCCCTGACAGATTTATGTCTAAGGTAATGGAAACTCTCGATGGCTTTGCCATATTTGCCAAATCTTTTTCCTGTGGAGTAACCCGACTTTTACTTTGGAAGTTCATATCTCAGGTTTGCTCTTGCTTTTAATCAGTTATGAAATATTGCCATGTTAACTCATATCGAGTTACACTCTGAACTGAAATTGTTATTCATGCATTTTTCATCACATCTGGATTATTGCAATTAATTGTTCACTTATATAAGCAAACACTCAGTGCAACATTTGCAGGTTGTTCAGAATACAGCTGCTCAGTGACTCACATCACGTTGTTTTTGACCAAACCGGCTGGTCCAATTTAAATTTCTAATCTTCTCAACTTGATGCGAAATCCACACAAAGAAATGGATACTGTGACCATTAAGAGATGTGGAAACTCAGATGTCCTAAATGATCCCTCTCTCTC